ACGATAACATCGCCACGTCTAAGTAAAAGAGATAATAACAGATTTATATATACAAGCATTAACATTATGGCAACGACTCTTGGAAGAGAAGGAAACAAACAAAGTTTTATTTTCATAATAAGCTGCAATAGCTGTTGCCCAAATATTCTGTGTCCTTTTGAGAGTTAAGTCCATGCCTTTGAAATTTAATGTAAATCATTTCTGATATCAGGCGTTTCAAGTAATAACGTTCCTCATGCAAAACTTTGGCTTGATCCCAATTGAAATCATGGTTTTCCCTCAAACGGTGTTCTTGTATGGCCATTAACTCAACTGTAGAACTCCTTGGTATTCTCCTATGCTCAGCAATGCGCGTAGAGAGGCAATGCGCGTAGAGCTTCTACTGGTTTGACCAACATACAACGTCTCACAACTACTGCATTGCAATTTATACACAACGTTATTATGGAAACCAGGAGGCAACTTGTCTTTATGCACACGAATTATTCCTGATAATTTATTATTGCAAGAATAAGCAATATTTGTCAAATTATTTTTAAAAAACTTTGCCAGTCTGTTCGAAACCACACCAAAAAACGGTATGGTAAAATATTTTTTATCATCATAACCAGATGCTGTCAAATTTGTTTTAACTATCTCTGAACCTCGTCCGCAATTCACAATAAGAAACCTCAGTCTACGTTTTATAATTTTAAAAATTAGGTCCAAAGGATAATTATTATTAATTAGCGTCAAAATGATAAAGTCTAAATTATTCTTATGGAAAGTCGGATAACTAAGATAAAACATCCTATCCACCAAGCCAATAATTGTTCCGATCTTGTGTTGAATAGAATGGTGAAAATTTCTTTTGTAAAAGTTTCTATATAGAACGAATTTTTAAGAAAATGTAGGATGAATAATATTCTGCCTCCTCATTTGAAAAAATTAAATTTAAATTATAATTACTGAAGTGTGTTCTTACATAGTAAAAGTTTGTCAAGCGGTGTTGAGCGCGCAAATTGCGATTATGCAAAAAGAATTCTTGATATTGAGATTAGAGACGGATTTATACATAAGCATTTCTTAAGACGCCGTAGTTTTCTGATATCGAAATCACTGATGCGTTCCCTACCTTTTTTTCTGTGGCGCAGATTTTGTATATTGCAGTATGCGAACATTACTAATTATTATTTTGTGGAGACTCGTCGTATAGAGAATAAGTTTCGGCTTTTGTGTAAAAAAAAACATATCCATGTTCAATAAATTGGACTCCATTAATTATTTCTGTACTTCTACAAGTACTGGTCCTGTTAACAAAAAACTTAGATTATGCAAAGATCTTGGAGTTGCTTGGAGAACTCATTTTTCCAATGATCTTCCTCTTGACGATTTTGATTCTAGTTCAATTAAAATTACTGTCAATCTTCTATCATATTTGAATCAAAGTTCTCCTTCTATTCTGTCTCCTCATGATCGGTGGTTCGTAAACCTGTCCTCTGTGAACATTCTTAGCAGTATTCAAGATCTTCTCCAATTAGGTAACGGTTTTAATTTTCCCCCTTCTAATGAGAGGTCTATTCTTATTGAATTTATTAAACAAATTGAATCGAACATTTGTAAACTCAATAGGGAAGAGAAGGAGATTGTTAGAAGCCGGATGGTACCTGTCTTACGTGGAATTCATAATCATATTCCGCTTTGTCAGTCTAAGTATGAATTTATTTTGAAGGCCACTCAAGAAGCTAAAACGTTCTGTAAATTGAACCCTAATCTCCTTTTTACTGATAAAGGTATTGTCATAGTCGCGATTGACAGGAATTCGTACATGGAAAAAATGTTGAGTCAGCTTGATGACGTTTACCAGAGGGTTAACTATGATCCGACTAAAAAACTTTTTAGAGATCTTCATGTCATCTTAACTAGATGGAAAGTTAAAAATTACATCAATAATGCCATTTATAGATTCTTAAAATCCGGTGAGGGGAATCTTCCAAGGGCTTATAAGTTACCTAAAATAAATAAGGAGGGACACTCATTGAGAATAATTATTTCTTCTATTAATAGCCCCCTTTATAATCTTGCAGTTTTTTTGCATAAAAGTATTTACCAAAAAATTCCCCCCGTTAAAAGTAAAATTAACAATAGCTTTGACTTAGTTAACAATTTTTCATTTAGACATTTCGAGGAACATCATAAACTGGTTTCTCTGGATGCTATCTCTTTATTTACTAATATTTCTCTTGATCTAGCATTAACTTCAGTTGACAAACATTGGCATTATATTGGCGATTCTATTGGGATTCCTCGCAACGAGTTTATGTTGGCTTTGGAATTTGTTCTTGATTCTACATTTTTTACTTTTAATAACAAAACTTATAAACAAACTTTTGGTAGTCCTATGGGCTCCCCATTGTCCCCTATTATTGCGAACCTAGTTCTTCAGGATTTGGAAGAAAGAGCTATTAACATGATTCCGGTGACATTGCCTTTTTATTTTAGATATGTTAACGATATTCTTTTAGCAGCTCCTAAGGAGTTTTTAGATAACATATTGCGTATATTTAATTCGTTTCATCCTTGGCTGCAGTTCATAATTGAAATAGGAGATGACAGTATTAACTTTTTAGACACTACTCATTTAATACGTAATAACACAATTATTTTCGATTGGTATCATAAACCAACGTTTTCTGGTCGATACCTAAACTATTTGTCTTTTCATCCTATTCAACACAAGATCGGAACAATTATTGGCTTGGTGGATAAGATGTTTTATCTTAGTCATCCGACTTTCCATAAGAATAATTTAGACTTTATCATTTTGACGCTAATTAATAATAATTATCCTTTGGACCTAATTTTTAAAATTATAAAACGTAGACTGAGGTTTCTTATTGTGAATTGCGGACGAGGTTCAGAGATAGTTAAAACAAATTTGACAGCATCTGGTTATGATGATAAAAAATATTTTACCATACCGTTTTTTGGTGTGGTTTCGAACAGACTGGCAAAGTTTTTTAAAAATAATTTGACAAATATTGCTTATTCTTGCAATAATAAATTATCAGGAATGATTCGTGTGCATAAAGACAGGTTGTCTCCTGGTTTCCATAATAACGTTGTGTATAAATTGCAATGCAGTAGTTGTGAGACGTCGTATGTTGGTCAAACCAGTAGAAGACTCTCTACGCGCATTGCTGAGTATAGGAGAATACCAAGGAGTTCTACAGTTGAGTTAACGGCCATACAAGAACACCGTTTGAGGGAAAACCATGATTTCAATTGTGATCAAGCCAAAGATTTGCATGAGGAACGTTATTACTTGAAACGCCTGATATCAGAAATGATTTATATTAAATTTCTAAAGCATGGACTTAACTCTCAAAAGGACACAGAATATTTGGGCAACAGCTACTGCGGCTTATTATGAAAATAAAATTTTGTTTGTTTCCTTCTCTTCCAAGAGTCGTCGCCGCAATGTTAATGCTCGTGTATACAGGGTGTCCTAAAACCACCGGAATTGCTCTTAATGGTAGATTCCTTACAATATTTTAAGAAGAAAATTCTAATACAAAAATGTCGAGGCTATAATAGCTTTTAAACGGGAAGCGATTACATTTAACGAATGGCAGGGCTGAGATTTCGCGCGCTCAGGTACGGAAGAATGACAAATGCAAAAAGTGCTCCTATTAATGGGGCGCTCTTTTCATGATATTATTGTCATATGAATTTGCAATGTGTTTTCGCTTCTCTATGTATTGCATATTAATACATTTTTTCACAAATAAAAGATGTAAAAACTAAAAACATATCAAAAATAATTGAAGTAAAAATTTCAACTTAGGCTCTCAAAGTCATCGATTAACATTACCATGAAAGTGTCTATGCTACGCTGTGCGAGACAAATAAATTGTAATAGAATTAATAGCTATTTATTTTGTATTTTAGAACATTTTGGA